GCGTGGGCATGCGGGAGGCCCCGGGGCCGGAGGGATGTTCACCTACGTCTCTACCTGCTGCAGCAGGCCGCCGATTCTACCCACGGGTCCACACCTGCTGCGTGGGCGTAGTTTGTGTGCCGTGAAAATGATATTTTGAGTATAAACTCCATAGAGTATGAAAATACATTTTGTTGAAGTTGAACATTTTGTGACTGTGTATAGCTGTGGGTGGGACGTGTACACAACACGCTGTTCCCTCAGCGAAATCACAGACCCCACGGCGCTCGCCGCGGTGCGGACGCGCGTCCTTCCTACTGTTGCCAAGCAGCAAACATGACCGTACGATCTTCACAGGAGGCTTGGACACGTGAACAACTTATTTTAAACTAAAATGAACTACCTCCCCTAGAAAGCAGTGGAGCCCCAAGTTTCTCAGGTGGAATTAGGGGAAAGTGGACAGGCATGTTAGGCAGTGACCGAGGAGGCGTGAAATGCACACGCACCCCAGGCCTTTGCATCTCTTCCTTCGCTACTTAATATTGCCCATCAGCAAAATCACACTCACTGCTTGGGCCCCAAAGTGTTATACAGACTTCATTTCATTGAGATTAAAAAGGACATTACAAATAGAAGAGAAACCTGTTGTGTTACATGAAGAAAAGTATAATTCTGGGGAAGGATGCATTTTAGTTTATTTTGTATTTTCTTCTTACAGGAAGTTTCTGAAAATCACTATTGCAAGGCCTAACTGAGTTTAATATCACATTGTCACTCAGAGTGACAATGGGGAGGGCCTTGTCAGCATCGCAGCTTTGCGCTGCTTGCATCCCAGTGAAAACCTGCCCAGCGTGATATAATACACAAGGTATTCAGAACAGCTCCCTCTGAATAATAATGATATCAATAATAATTATATTAGCCACCATTTTTATTAACACTTCTTTTTATGTAGCAGGCATTGTACTAAGCCTTTTACATGTCTTAGCTCACCTACTTCCCATAATTAATCTTGAAGAGGGATCCTGGGTATTTTATTATACCCATTTGATGGAGGGGAATGACAAAGCTCAGACTAGGGTGACCCACTGCCCACGTTTTCCCAGATGTGGGACATTCAGTGTTTGTACCGGGAAAGTCTGGGGCAAACTGGGGTGAGTTAATCACCTTATGAAAGTGACTTGCTTGATTTTTTAACCGGTAGAGAGGGATTTAAACTTCTTTTCCCCTTGGCTGGTCAGATTTCCTACCAATTGCCAGCCCAGCAAAATAGTTGAACAGGGAAGATGTTCTTTGGTAGCACTGGGGGACAAGCAAGAGCTAGGTTGAAACCTGGGAATATTATTTCACAGGTGTAATTGAAAATGTCATCTTATTTCTTTCTGTCCCCAAATCGCCGAGTGCAGCTGGACCTCCCTTTACCGTGTTTCTAAAGGGCTTGCCTGTCACTGCCATCTGACATTCCTGTGAAAACCCACTCACTCACCTTGGGAAGGGGGTAGAGATGACACACTGTTTGGCCCGGGTCCCGTTGACAGAACTCCAATGCATGACACACCACATCAGCATTCATGTCAGCACTAAGCCTGGAGGGAAATGGGGCGAGACAATGGCTATTAAGATCTCTCGGGCCTTAGAGAATAGAAGCTCTTTCAAAGAAAGGTAAATTCCAGAGTGGATTCTAATACCCTCAGTGCATCGCACCGTGGCCTCCGAGTCCGTCCTTGCGTGTGCTGGGTCCTAATGATTTCCTGCCACCTTGCTCTCGCCTACATTTAGAACAAGGTCCTGGGGTGGGGAGGGGCTGGAGAGGGGGCTCGAGCGGCCCTGAGCTGTATGTCAGCTTGCCACAGGAACATGAGATTCTTTTCAGCAGAAGCCTCAAAAGCCCAGGTAAAACCATTAGAATGTTCAAGATGCAAGGCGGCATGTGTGCTCATGGCCAACCTTGGCACAGAGCCTAAGCTACATGTAATTTGTGAAATCTTTAGGAAATCTCCAAACTCATAATAACCATCCCCACCCAACATTGTTTTCTTTTACCCAGAGTAGCAAATAGGACCAAAATGGTCACATTTTAATTTACTATATTTCCTTTGGCCACCTTTGCAAGGACAGAGGTTTGCAGGAGTGAGGCACATGAGGGGGGCAGACTTTAGCACATTTGGCAGAGCTCATTAGCAACTTTAATTAGGATTATAGTAGAATGAAGTCAATGATGATGATGATCATTATCATAAACCAAAAGAAGGGATCAAGGTCAGGGTTAAGTTAGCAGATGGGCAGAGGAACAGCCTTTCACTTGTGAGAAATATCAAATTTAGGCCTTTGACATCACTTTCAAAGGAGGCTTTTAATATATAGTCACAGAGATACACTCATAGCAGGGAAAGAAGTTTTCCTCTCACAATGTTTCTCCCACTTCTGGACCCTGCTCCTTATGGTGTACTATGAATTTAATTATTTCTATATATCTTGTAACTACCATGCGAATGGCATGGTTATATTGCTTTGTATTTTTGGTGTCTTAAAAAAATCATTAATTATATTTAAGGTGTATCATAATTGTTAGAAACCCCATTTTGCATTTTTCTTCTAAAAATGTTAGTAGTTGAGGCCTCTCCTGATCTCTGAGGGCTCCTAGGTTCGGAATACAAAATTTCATGATTTAGCAGGAAGCTAAACAGATACCAGGAAGCGAGGTAAGATGGACAGAAGACCAGGATCAGGTTTGCTATGACAACTGTGGAACAATGGAGGTCAAGACCTGGCATAGGAACACCCAGCCTGTGGTCATTGGCTAGGATCGGCCATTCTTAGAAGTAATCCTCCTTGCAGGACCCAGGTTCTTGGGAGAATAAGCCAGAATGCTCAGTTGTCCCACTTTCTAACAACATCCTGTGGCTTGCCTGTGGGTAGGACATGTAATTGCTGAATAATTAGTCCATGAATCATTGAGAATTGACTGGTGTGAAATAATGAGGAGGAACAATGCCCTCTGGGTTAGGAAACAAATTTAATATTGAAACCTGAAATTCAGGTGAATCTAAATCATGAGGCTGTCACTGTCAGGGCCCACCTCAACCTAGAACTGCATCTGGTTGATTAAAATGAGCTGTAAGAAGAATACACCATAAGAGGAGAAATTTCATCAGCAAACCACTAATATGGGAACTGGAAAACAGCGGAAAGAACCACAAAGGGGGGTCATCTGTCTTCTTCAAAGCGGCCACCCCATACTAATAAGAATTAGTCATCTCATGACTTTGAATCATCTCAGAGGAAACCATTTCCTCCCCTTCCTATCACCTCTTTTGGTGGTTTGCTGGGCCCCTTCTTTCTTAACACCTGTGTGCATTTGTAGTTGTTTGAGGTGGTTGCTGTCTCTTACACAGTTCCCACCTGCAGTGCCCAGTGCAGTGTCTGTCTGTCCTCTCTCTGATCCTTGTGCCTATCTGGCTCTTGCACTCAGCATGCTCCAGCCAGCTACAGAAGATCAACGGGTTTCTGAGTGGACCCAGGGCACTTGCTTTTTCTCCCAGAATGCTTCGTAGCTCAGCTCTGGTACCCCTTTTTGAATATCTGGGTGTACTGCCCTCTCTGGCTTCTGTGACTGTTTTCCTCTTACTTCTCTGGTTCCCTGATCTAGGCCCAGCAGACCCTCCCTGGTCAAGCTGACCTTTCCCCAGAGCACCAGGCTCCTGCTAGGTATGTAAACAGGTTCACCAAATGGGCTAAAGATGTTTTTTTTAAAAAGTATGTTCAAGTAATTTTCTTTGGAGTAGTCTACTCATAGCTCATCCATAGTGATATTTTTTATTTTTTAAAAAGTAAATTAATTACACAAACATTTATTAAAGACCTTCTATGCTCAAGGATTATACCAAGTCTTGGAGATACAAAGCCTTCTCCATCCCTCCCTTCCTCCCTCTTTCCCTTCCTTCCTCTCTTCCTTCTTTTTATATATTTAGTATACTCTGATAAGTATCTAGAAATACAAAGATGAATAAAATGTAGTCCTAACCCTCAGAAGGCTTTCAATCTGGTTAGCAACCCAGAAAAGAAAATAGAGAATTAAATTACAAATAAACATGGTAAGTGCTGTGCTGGGGGTTTGCACAGGGTACTGGGAGTGTGTGTGTGTGTGTGTGGGGGGGGTGGGGTGGCAGTGGAAGGGTGTCTATTTTAGCCCAGGGAGGGTCAGGACGACTTCCAGAGGAAGTCACCCTGGAGCTGAGGTCCAAAGAAGCAGGATTTGTCTGGGGGAGACAATTTGTTTGGATTTGCCAAGTGGAGAAAATATCCTGTGCAAAGGTCCTGAGGCAAAAAGCTCCTGGTGTGTTTGTTGGGGGGTGGGTGGCAGTTATGAGTAGTTTGGAATGTGATGTGCTGTGGAGCAGCCAGCGACTAGTCTGGAAATGTCCTCAGGGACAAGTTCATAAACAGCCTTGCGTATGGGGCTAGGAACCCTGCAGAGGGTGTGAAGGGTTTTATGTTGGAGGGAACCACAATTTGTTTGGCATTAGAAGAGTATTTGCCCAGCTACAATGTGGCTATGGACATGCAGGGTCATGGGCACGCCTGCAGGCCAGCAGGCCACTTGGGGGGTGGCAGTAATAGAGGCAGGAGTTAAGAAGACAGGGTCTCTGCCTTCCAAACACCACAGCCCAGGGCTCATGATAAATCATTTACCACAACAGGGTGAGGTCAATATTAATAGAGGCAGGTACACAGCATGGCAGGGCACAGATGATCCCCTGGCCTGGGTGACTTTAAGTTTCTTTTGTCTTTAAAATTCTGCAACTCTAGGCTACCCTGTTGTGGTGGGAGATGCTATCCTCTGAGCCTCTATTCTGAGGCTGCTGGTGGATGGAAGAGGGATTACATAAGGATGTTCTTGATACCAGCGTTTGCAAGAGAAAAAAACAGGAAACAACCCAAACAGCCATCCATGGGAGAGGGAAGGAACAGACTCCTGTAGAGACGCCTTGGAGTATTCTATACGGTCAGAGCACGTGAACTAGAGCAATGACACAGCTCTGTGGATGAATCTCGGACACCTACACTGTAGTGGTTCCAAAGATTATATATAGTGTGATACTCTCTTAATAAAGTAAGGAAACAACTGAAATAAAAATGATACGTTTTAAAAGAACGTATAATAGATTATTAATTATATTTATTTATGTAATTATATCTTATATTATCATATATATTACTTTTATATTATTATGATGATTAATTATATTAATATAATAAATATATACAATAAAACTATAGAGAAAGGAAAGCAAAAGAAAGATGAATGTGGGACTTATTTCTTGGGTGGAAGGAAGGGCGAGAGCAAGAGAGGGGGCTGTCTGGTTAGAGGAATTTATTGTCAAGGTCCTAGACACTGAGTGGCAGGCTTGGAAGCTAATTACCCATTCAAAGGAACTAAGTAACTACCTAAATAATAAATATAAGAAAGCCATGTATGGACCCTTGACAAGAGAGTTCCAGGAACATAGGATTTATCTGATCCAGTGCTCCTAAGCTGAAAAAATAAATAAAAAGAGGTATAAGAAAGAAAGGACGCAGACAGATGACGGTAAATGGTGGGATGCTGAGGGACATGGGGGCTGGGAAGTGAGGGGTCAGGACACCCGAGGGTGAGAGGACAGAAGAGAAGAACCTGAGAAGATCGCGGCCCGAGGAGCAGGGGTAGAGGAGGAGAGGCTGGGCCTGCTGGGCAGCTCGGCAGAAAGATCCGCGTGCCTGTGCCCAGCCAGGGTCCAGCCATTTATTGGTGTTGGTGAGATTGCTCCTGAAAGGCCTTGGAGAGAAACTGAGCCAAATTGTCACAATGTGATTCACGGGGAGCCTGTGCCTAGAGTGACAAAGGACCTGAGTCAGGTTGGAAAGTTTCACTGTTGACAAGAACTGGAAACTACAGCTCATGGCCTTGCCCAGTGGGCACCTCCCGCCCGAAAGGGAGCCGGTGGCCGCCCAGTGTTCCTGCCTCCCCGCCCCCGTGTCCCAGCCGAGGAATCAGACTGACGGCCGCGTACTCACAGTCTTATGACATCTGGTCCAAACGTGTAAACTGCTAAGTAGCAGGTGGTTCTCAAGGACAGTTTTTCTAGAAAAAACAAAGAGGAGGAATGGAATATTTTTTATTATGATAAATTGAGCACATGAGTTAATAATGATCATCTTTACTAGGGACTGGAGCTGAGTGATTACTCGATCATTCATTCAAGTCATTGATTTTAAGGGTTTGGAGGAAATGTTAACGTTAATGTGGCCATTAAAATATCATTTCCATCTCAGGTTCACACGAATGCTGGCATGTTTACTGTACAGGCTAAAGATCCCTAGTTTATTTTAAAAATACAGCTAAATTCTGGGCTTTCATTTTATTTTTTATAGCAGTGAACATCTGAATGTTGGTGATCTCATTTGTTGAAGTTGAAAGAAACAGGACTCGATTTAAAGTAAATGATCTGAAACACTGCTTTGTTAAAAATATTCTTCCCTGGTGTTCACTTGGGGAAAAAAGACTTCACCTTGGCTCTTTGTTTTTGCTGGTGGTATTTCAGAGATAAAAGGAGACTGTCACAGGTGTCCCTGCCCGCCATCTGCACCAGGGAACATAGACACACACACACACACTAACAAGGCAGTCTCCTTCTCCACCCCTGCCCTGTTGTGAGAGTACAGAATGCCTTGCGGGGGGATCTCTCTGCACAGTGAAATGTGTTAAGCCCTGGCCCTGCTCCTTCTGTCTGTGGGTTTATTGTGGAGCCCTGGTAATTCTATGGAGGGCCTTAGCGTAGGGACGGACGGATGGGCTGTCCTGGGAAGGGATGGGAAACCCTCCCTGAGGAAAATTTACCTGGTCATGCTCACCCCCAACTGGGCTGCCCTTGCTTGGAGGGTAGGAGAGTGAAAGAACCAGGGTAAATACAGGGAACTCCCTCTGGTTCTTCATTTCTACTCGGTGGTAAATAATGTCAATATTACTTTTATGTTAAAATAGATACAGTCATAGATTTTTTTTTTTTTACAATAAGGCATAAGACTTCGATGAAGTGTTCTTTTGAAGTAGGAACTTAAAACGATATTTCCACATTACTTGGGCCTCACAGAAATAATAATGATAATAAAGAACTATGAGGGAATACTATGAACATCTGTGTGACAGCAAATTAGATCACTCAGATGAAATGGAAACTTTCCTAGAAAGACCAACTGCCCAAAATGGACTCAAGAATAAATAGACAATCAGGACAGACATATAACAAGGGATTGAATTAGTTGTCAAGAGTTTCCATAAATAAAAGCTCAGGACCAGATGGCTTCACTGGCGAATTGCACCAACTATTTAAATAAAGCATCTGAATAGACATTTCTGCAAAGAAGACATGCAAATGGCCAATAAGCGCACGAGAAGATGCTCGGCATCTTTAGCTATCAGGGAAACGCAACTCAAAGCCACAAGGAGGTACCTCCTCACACCCACTTGGAGATGCTGTAATAAGAAGGACAGCTAATAACAGGCATGGAGGACCTGGAGAAACCAAAGCCCTCGTACACCGCAGGGGTGGGGGGCTGAAGTGGGGCAGCCACTTTGGTAAACAGGGGGGCAGTTCCTCAAAAGGTTAGACACAGAGTTACCGCATGACCCGGGATTTCCACTTCTAGGTTCATACCCAAGAGATTAAAAACGTATATCCACATGAAAGCTTGTAGGAATGGGCACAGCGCATCATTCGAGGCAGCCGGGAGATGGAAACAAGTCAACTCAAACATCCAGTAACTCGTGACTGGATGAGCGAAATGGGCTCAGTCCCTGCAGGGGAATATTACTCAGCATATGGGGCAGCGACATTCTGATGTGCGACACGGACGACCATGAAAACCTCATGCTGAGTGAAAGAAGCAGTCACAAAAGACCAAATACGGCAGATTTTGATTAGGCCCAGAATAGGCCAGTTCACAGAGGCAGAAAGTAGGTTAGTGGTTGCTGGAGGGTCACAGATAAGGAGAGCAGGTCCCTTTTTGGCACAATGAAATGTTCGCAAATTGATCGTGCCGAGGGATGGGGGCACCGCTCTGTGAATACACTAAAAGCCACAGAATTATACAATTTAAGTAGGCAGATTGCATGGTGTGTGAATTATATCGCGGTGCAACTGTTTAAAAATGACACGTGCTCTTCTCCCAGGGGCTCCTCCTTAGGGGCTCTGGGGTGGAGGGTGACAGGAGGCTCTGAGCCCTGGGACCCCGGAGACCTGAGCTTCAGCTCCGGCTACCAGCTTCTGCCCTTAGTCAGGTTGCTGCCCTCGCTGAGCGGCAATCCCTTCATCTGAAAAGGGGAGGAGGAGTTCGGTCTCCCTCCCTGCGCTGTCTTGGGGTTGGGAGCATTGTATAAACAGTCAAAATCACATGGGAGGCGCTCTGGAAGCGAGTTTCAGGCATTGTTGGTGGAGAAAGAGCTTGGCCAAGAGCAGAGCGATTTAAAAACCAACATTAGGGTGTTTGATAAACTTGCAGGACAGCCTGGAAGGCAGAGGAAATGCGTCTTCTTTCTGGTGAAACTAGAGGGGTGTGTGTGTGTCCAGAACCTTGTCTTGCTCAGTGGAAGCGAGGTTGTCCTCACACTGAGTGGGACCATCTCAGCCACCAAAAGGATTCGGGGATGGTAAGAATGAGAGGTTCCTGGAGCGATGACAACTGTGTGACATGAGATGACCCTCTCAGGGCTAAATTCTAGATCCACACTGAACAGTACAGAGGAGAGATATGGAAAGTCTCCAGAAAGAGCCAGGCAGGCCCGGGCGGCCATGATCAGGGGGCTACCTCACTCTTACTGATGCCGCTGGAGAAAGGATTGGCACGAACATACAGCTAGTAGCCTCTGGGACGTAAAATGCGTACAGTTAAGTTGTGCCTGTGACCAGGAAGGTGCAGGAGCGTTGAATTTGCACAGAGCACAAAGGATTTGGAACAGCGTAGAAAAAAAAGGAGTGGCCATTCCCAAAGGCAAAGGAGGGTGGAGTCCCCACCAGACGCTGGGCGTATCCGTATGTGCGTGTGTACATTCCAGCTGTCAGTCACCTTCATGTTCACCATCCCTCCCTTTCTCAGAAGAACCCTTGGGCGGGGGCCCTATTTTTACCCTCATTTTTTAGGAAGGGGCACCGAGGTTCAGGGAGCGTAAGGCCTGCCCAGCGTCACCGACAGAGCAGGTGGATCGGTGAGAGTTTACCGTCTTCTACTCCAAAAGCCCACGTCGCTTGTAGCGGGCACGGCAGGGTACCCAGGATGGGGGACTTGGCGCCCCCCGCCTCAGGCGTGGCAGGTACCGATAGGCACTCGCTGCGCAGGGGGAGTCGGGCACACAGGGGGGCGAACGGGCCACAGAGCTGGTTCTGCGGCTGCACAGGGCCGGGCAGAAGTAGGGTTACAGCTGCGAGTACTCGACACAGAGTTTCTGTTCTTGAATTACAACTTATTAATGATCGAATTGCTTTCCATACAAACGACTGTCAAGCTCTTTGGCCCCCCGTCTAGTGCAGGCCCCAGTGGGCTTGCAGGGCGCGGGCGGGGGCCCTTCTCGTCTGAAGGCTGCAGGGGATCTCGGCCGTGTGGAGTCAGGGTCGGTAGGTGACCCGAGAGAGGGGCGTTCCAGCAAGGCCTCAGGGCGGCTGAGTCCTCTGACCCCGTGACTAACTCTGAGCCTCTTCCAAGGCGTTTACTAACGAGAGCCAGGGGCAAAGGCGTCGGGTGGAGCCGCCGGTCGGAAACGCGTGGCACAGTTCAGAGGAACCGCGCCCCGGGCGCAGGGGGGCGGCCGATTCCCGCGGGGGCTGCCCAAGACGACTGCCACGGCTCGCTCCGCCCAGACGATGCTTCCTGCCCGATTAGCTCTGGAGGCAAAAGCAGTGCTGCTTGAATACGTTTTTAAAAAAGAAAACGCTGTTAATTGCCGATTTCACGTTCTCTGTCGCCCATTCTCCTGGCTCATGGACAGGAGGAAACACAGGGAGCAGGAGGCACCGTGGTCCAGGTCATTGTCTGCTCTGGAGGGTCTTGGCTCGGGGACAGTTCATCCCGTGCAATTCGCGTGATGGTTCTGTGCAGGGCTAACACACCCGTAACACGCAAACACCCCCCCCGCCCGGCCTTTGTCTGTCACGCGCAGGGCCTTCCCCTGAAGCGAGCACCGTGCTTGCATCCAGAGGTAAGACATCAGCTAATACGACGCGACGAACCCCAGAGAACAGCCTCCTTCATCCTTCGCAATCCCTCCACGCTGGAAAGGTAACCTACCACTGGAAACCGAAATGCAGACGTGGCTTCCCTTGGTGACATGCCCACCTCCTTGGCCACAGCTGACTTTGGGGCTCCCCAGGCCTCGGCAGACCCTGAGGTCCCCTGGCGCGAGCCCGCAGGAGCCCGGGTGGCTCCTCGAGTGCCAGCAGTCTTGGCTGGGTTGTGTACGGTCCGTGGGTATATTGGGAGGGGGTAACCTAGGAAATGGGATTACGACCCAGCCTTTCATTTTTAGCCAACACAACCGTGCCTAGAAAGAAAACGGATCTCAAGGCCCACGTGGTCACCTGTCAGTGTGGCCCGTAGCGCAGGAGTGAACCAGTGAAACGGTCCTGATCGCCATGACTGCTCTTCACTCTTTCCTGCGACAGCTGGCACCAGTTCCTCTTGGCTTTGTCACTCAGAGGAGCGAGAGTGCAGCGTCAGGTCTGTAGCGGGCTGGGACGCCCAGCGACGGGGGGCGGGTGGATGCTCCCAGGGCGAAGGCTGCAGAGCAATTAGGCGGCGCGGCCTGGCCCGCGTGTCTGAGCGTGTGCAGGCCTCAAACACATGCTGTTGCGTGAGAAAGAGAAGTTGCAGAGCGGCACACGCAGCAGACATTGGCGCACATTGAAAGCCCCGCCAGGGAGGGTTCTGGAAAGATGATGGTGGAGGCAGCGGAGTTTGGGATTTTGTTGAATCTCTAGCAAATCTCCCCCCACCCCCTCTCTGACATAAAACAACCCAAACCAAGGTTGCTGATATTCGAGGTACTAACTCGGCCCCTTCTGACCCGTAACAGGAAATTTCAGTCTTCTGAGGTACCGAGGGGTCGGGGGGAGAGCGTCGGGATGGGAAAACCAAAAAACCATAGACAATAGTTACAACAAAACTAGGTCTCTCCCAGGCCCCCAAACACAATCAGACAAGGCAAAACCACACACAGCCACATGCAGTGAAGGCTACCAGCGTCTGGGTGGAAGGAAGTAGAGGGCAGCGATGGGATGTCGGATAAACCCAAGGCCAGGAAGATCCCCAAATAACTCAGGGACTCGAAGTATCGGCTGGAAAGCACGGTGGGCTAGGTGGGCCTGTTGAGAAACAGCAGCTGGGACGGGGGCTTCGCTGGCTGAGCAGCTGAGCGCAGGGGCTCCAGGTGACACGCGCTGCGGGGCTGGAGTGGCCTGGCGCCTGCGTAGTTAAGAAACTGGTCTACTGGAGCANGACTCGAAGTATCGGCTGGAAAGCACGGTGGGCTAGGTGGGCCTGTTGAGAAACAGCAGCTGGGACGGGGGCTTCGCTGGCTGAGCAGCTGAGCGCAGGGGCTCCAGGTGACACGCGCTGCGGGGCTGGAGTGGCCTGGCGCCTGCGTAGTTAAGAAACTGGTCCACCGGAGCGCCTTTGCAGGACAGGGACCCCAAGGAGAGGCTGCTGGGCTTGGAGTCAACATCGAGCGGGACAGAAGCAATGTAAATCGAGAAACCAGAAAAAGGGGGCAGGGCAACAGAGTCGGGAAATCTCAAAAAGCGAGCGGCCTATCCCCCCCAGCACTACACAGAAGCAAGGCAAGCGGGGGCCCTGCGCGTTCAGAAGCCCTACCCTGAACCACTTCTCCTTCTAAGAGTTTTGGAAAATGAATTTCATATAGAAACGAGCAGCAGAAATGTATGTAGGTCAACTCCCATACAAAGTTATTATAAGAAAAGAAGAGAGTACGGAACCGAAGCAAATCCCTGCAGATGGCCAACGCCAGCCAGAAAGTCATGCCCGAAGGGATTAAAACGTAATATTTCAAAATGAGCTCAGGAGCATTAATAAAATGATATGGACATGAAAGAACAGCAGAAATGAGGCTTGGAAAATCTCAGGCAAGGAGAGAAAGAACCCGGGGAGGAACGCGGGACTGTAAAACAAGCGGGGTTTCTGCTGGAGTGGCCGGAACAAGAAGGGGGGTGACACTGATGTCCCAGGAGAGCTGGAGGGTGGACGGAGGGAGGGAGGACGGCCGGACGCAGAAGAAACGAAGAGACAGAGCCCTCAAGAGACAGGCAAAATGTCGAAGGGGGCAGAGAGGATTCAAGGCATGACTAGTAGGAATCCCCGAAGAAGAACCCTTCCAAACTTTCCTGAAATTGTGACAAATGAGCCTGAAGCCCCCTGTGGGGACAGCGCCCCGCGGGCCTCGGAGCCTCCGCGTCCAGCCACTGACACCGAGGCGTGTTCTGGCTGCGAGGCTGAATTTCACGGGAGGGAGAAAATAGGTCCCTTGAACTTCCAGGCAAAAATAGACTTATAAGAAAAAGAAAGCTAGGATATCATTGGGCTTTTTAATAGCATACTTGAGGCACTCAGGGAAAGAAGTTGTGTGCCAAGGATCTTTATATCCAGAAAAACATTGACTTTCAAGTATAAAGGGCACAGCCAGCTTGTCATCAAACACGCAAGAGATTCAGGGAACATCTCCCATGAGCCCTCCTGAGGAATGAGCTCGAGACGACAGCTCGGCTAGACAGTCATCCTCCGAGGGGCTCGCGGTGAACATCAGTCACAGAGCGGCTGAGGAAGCTGACCTGGAATGAGAGTGGAAGGGAATGGGTATTGGATGTCACGGCCATGGGCGCAGGTAATAGAGCACGGTGATTAAATAAGAGATGGGGAAAGCATAGGCAAAAAACAATTCTAGCTGCTCTCAATGATTATAAAGCATATTAATGGTAGCAGCGTTAGGACTGATATCCGAGACTGTTCTGTGGGCAGTGAGGGATAGGTAAATGAGTAATTATGGGCTATTTTAATTCTATCAATCCCTCTGTCCTTGAGAATTAGGACTTAGAGTGTGGAAAGAAGCAGATAACTGCTATGTAGAGAAGAGATTAAGAAAAAAAATTCTGTCGTTTTTAATTTGGATTTGAAGTGTCAGGATGAACTCATTAGATATATTATTTTAAAATGAGACATGTAAATGTATATATGTGTATTCCTATCAGTGTCTACTGAAGAGGCCTAGAAAGAATGGTCAGCTCAATAGTGATGAGCATTCCTAGGCCCCCAGATTGTGGTCTTAAAATATTGTTTCTCACCCAAAGAAACCCGGGCTTCTAAGGGAAATGATTGATTTTGAGCCTGGGGCTGGAAATGTGCAAGATAGAGTTGTAACACTTTGTCACACCAGTTAGTGAGGTGACTTAGGCTCATGTCAAAGGCCTCCAGAGCCAACTAGAAGAGGTTCCCACGGCTCAGAGTTGGGACAATTTGAGCTTCAAAAGGCTATAATTGAAATAGACTCAAACTCATCAAATATGTATAAATTCATGAGTGCATAATGATATTTTAAAGAAAGCTAATTGAATACTTTGGGATGATAATAGAAAGGCAATGAATTATTTGAAAACTGGCAAATAAAGCAAAGGAATTAAGTATTTATCCTGCCTTCCCTAGTATGAACACTACCAGTAGGGACTATGGGAGAAAAAAGTCTTTAAAATATGATGATGAGGAGAGGAACTGTCTCTGATATGCTTCAATTACTAAATGACATATAAATGATAGATTAAAACAGCACCATTTGCAACCTCCTGTGAACTAATAGGTCTGGTCATTGAGCATCACAGCTGCTAACATCACAAAAAGAGAAAAAAGAAAACCACTTATGATGGCCTCCTGATGAAAGAAAACACCATCACTTATAGTCTCGCCAAAGAAATCAAACTGGAGTCGGATCAAGTCTCTGGATGCAGATGCCCATTTCCAGGGAAGACAGAGCAGAGACACATATTCGATTATGCCAGGGATGCCATCAGCAAAATCCAGACTATGGGAAACTCTTCAAGGCAAATGCCACAGCTCACTTACAACGAAAAGGAAAGGATGGAAAGGACACTTGTGGATTCAAATTGACGCAAAGGACACACCAAAAATTTTAAAACTGGTCAAGACGATGGTGCCTGGGAATGCCCGCTTGGGTGATAACACTATAAAGCAATGCAAGGAAGTGACTGCAGTGAAACTCAGGACCCTGCTCTTTTAGGGGGGTGGGGGGACATGATGGCATCGGCGTGTGGCTGGGGCTTCTGGGGTGGCTGCCTCTCTGTTCCTTCTTGACCTCAGCTATGTTTACAAAGGTGTTAAAAGCATACATTTACTTTGTGTCATTTTCTACATTTGTTTTACCAAGAAAAGGTTAAAAAAATCACCCACAGAACAACACTATCCACTGGGTATGGATTCATACGAGTGGGCGTGAAAGTATAAAAACAGTCCCATTAAGTTCATGTGTGTGGTTCCCGCTAGAGAGGTGGGAGAATGGAACTGGTGGTCGGGGGGACCAAAGGGTGTTTCAAGGTTATCGTAATTCAACCAAAGAAAGATCTGATGTATGGTATTTACCAGGCAGGTAGCTGCACAGTCTCTCCATGGAGGCCTGGACTGTGGCGTTGTGCACGCGAGCCAGCTGTTCAATCACAGACACCACCACCACACAGCCTGGAAGAGAGAAGACCGTGTCAGCAGGGCCACAGAGAAACCTGTGCTGGGCAGTCCAGGGAAAGAGAGGGGACGTGTGTGTCCTTGAGAACACAGACCTTTCCAGAACAGAGAACTTATGTTCACCTTTGAGAATCTACTGTGGGCATAATTCACTGTGATTTGTAGTGAAACATGCATGAAGTGTGATGAGAAGATCACGGGCTTAGGGTTGGAAAGACTGGTTGTAGGCCCGGTTTTGCCACTTGTAAGCTGTGTGACCTTGGGGCAGTCCATGAATGTTGCTTTATTTCTGTTTCCTTTTGGTCACGTGGGAGGAAGACGTCATTTAAAGGAGCTCGTGCAAGGATTGAGTCTTGCGCTTAAATCTTGGACTTACCATCCAGGCTGTGTGAGCTTTAGTCTCCTCCCTGCAGAAGAGGTAATGATCCCATGGGGCTGCTGTGATGATTAAATGCGATAACAGTGCAGCCGCGCATGCCTTGGAAAGCCTAACGCTATTGTAAAATATTATTTCACCTCACAGTCACAGAGCACACGGCTCAAAAGCAAGTACTCATATAATGGGTGTCTAGAAGGAACCTTGGATTAAGTGAAAATATATGCCTTCAGCTACCTTGACATGTGATAAGTGTCAAAGCCAAGAATCGCTAGGCTGGAACTCCTAGAAGGTTCTATCACCAGCCTTGACCTCCTGAACTGCTGGGGAGGGGACTCTTTCTTCTATATACAAGGGTTGGTGGGTCCAAGGTCAGTAAGTCTGTGGGAGGACATTGCCAGGCCTCACTGAGACAAGAGGGATGGCACTTATTAGCAGAGGCTGGTTTCCAAGGAAGCAAAAGAAAGCTTCCACCCAAAATGAGGATCCAGGGTGTCTGGCTCAGCAGTGAGCTCACTATCATCCATCTGCTCAAGGAGCTGGGGACCCAGATTCCCGTGCAAGGGAAATTTCCACCAGGATTCCACGAGGAAAGGCGGCGGGTAGCAGATGTGAATGGTACCACTGGGCATTGCCAGACAAAGAAGCCAAACCTTCTGTGAAATGAGGGCCTGGCAACGGAGACTGAGAGACCTCCGCCTTCCTGGACACTGCAGCATCCAACAAGGCGTTGGCATCCGCTGTTCTGTGCCCTCGGATGAAGCTGGGCAGAGCTGGGCTTAGCAAATCCGAGACAGTGTGATTGTGAGAGCCACAACCTTGCTGCCCTGAGCAGCTCCCTGCTGGGGCATTTATCAACATCAGCTATCAAGGTCAACTAGAAGCGCTTTTAACCTAGTCCATGCACTGAGGGTTTCATTACCTTGCCATGAATTCAGTAGCTGAAACTTATTAGCACTTTATGGTCTGGAAAGCATTTTCATATGTATTTTATTATTATTTTTAAATAAAATTTAAAAAATACAGATGCAATGCAATCTCATTTTGGAAAATTAAAAAAATATATAGAACAGTATAAAAAAGATAAACATCACTGAAATCACCCAGAGATAAACCAATTTCACTTTTATTTTAAATACATAAAATATGTTTAGTATATGTGAATATTTTCAATACTTATAACACAAGTTTACAGCCCTACTTATGTCTCTGCGGATTGCCTGTTAAGGTAGGTAGAGCTAAATAGATGTTAGCAGCAATTGAAAAACAATTATGAATAATTATGTTGCGATGTGCTAAGAGTCTGCAGTGTGGTTTGTTTGAAAAGGGGGAGGCTTTGAAATAAGAAAACTTGGTTTCCGTTACAGGCTCAGCCACTTACAAATGGAGTGACTTTGCACAAGTGACTACCCTCTGGAGCTTCATGTTTAAGAGTTGAGAGTTAAACCGTAAATTCCCGAGGGCGGGAACGGGGGTCTTACTCTCACTCCGAGTGCCTGACATGGGGCCTGGTTTGGAGCCAGATGTTTGCTGACTTGAAGTGAGCTCATGGGGGAGCCAGCCACCTGGGTGACAGTGCCCTTGTCGGTTGCTGGGGTCCCCATGGGAGAGGGTTGGCAGGTGCACCTGCTGTTGTGCTCTGGCTCAGTCATCTCGCCCACAGGGTTGTTTGCTCTGTTCCAGCCTCATTACAGGATGTGGTTCCGCTCCTACTCTGGCGTGAAACAGCCAGTGCCCCTTCCGGAGCCAGACAGCAGATTCTAGAGCAAACGGCCCCCACGTGCGGCTCAGGGCGAAGCAGCACGCAGTGGGGCAGGGCGGGGATCTTGCACAGTCATCGCCTCGCAGGGCGTCGCGTCAGTGAACTGCAGCACTGGACGCCCAGAGGTGGGACTTTAAGAAAATCTAAGGCACAGCAAGTGGGAGAAAAGGGGTTCCCAGGAAAGAAACAAGACTGGGAGCCGGAAAGAGCATGGTCTCTTTCGCCATTTCTTTCACAATTTAATTAGTAGCAAGTTTTCTCTCTCACTGGTACCTAGAATTTTACAATGAGTGACAAAGTAGGCTCGGTGAGGTGCACGACTTGGAAACCCGCCGTTGGTGTAGTGGAGGAGGAGTGGACGAGTGGGGAGCATAAGGGGACTCTCCTGGGGACTTTCCTCGGGGAGGCTCCATTCAGCCCCAGCACATGTATGTATTTGTTTTAGACCACGGCTTGGAAGGGTGAATAAGCAGGCATTGTGCTCAGGACCAACCTGTGCTCTGTACTTAAAATTTCAGGCTTTTCTTTCACTCATAAGAATCTTGCCAAGGGTTTGTTTTTTTAATTTTTAAAAATTTTAATTAAAAAAACACACGCTTTCATTGATTTTTAGAGAGAGAGGAAGGAAGAGGGAGAGAAACATCAATGAGAGGGAAACATTGATCGTCTGCCTCCTGCACAACCCCTACTGGGGACTGAGCCCAAAACCCGGGCCTGTGTCCTGACCAGGAATCAAACCGGTGACCTCTTGGTGCCTGGGACGATGCTCGGCCAACTGAGAGACGCCGGCAGGGGCTTGCCGAGGGTTCTTATGACTTTCCTGGCTCCTTAGCAGTGCTGGCTAAGACTGGAAATCGTTAGATAAATAAAAAGGAGCCCCAAAGAAGCTAAGTCAGCTGTCTCTGAAGGTCGGATGGATCTTGGCACCATCATCACTCTGCCCATGAAAAGTTGTTATGATCAAAAGGACCCGGGAGAAAGCAGGTAATGGGGCTTGAAATATGGAAGCACCCAGGCCGGGCTCGGCTTTGATTAGAGCTCTGCTCCCCGCCCGCCTCGCCCACTTCCAGGGGCGCAGCTCCTCCCCCGGCGGATTGCTCATTTACGGTCCACAGTGAGGTGTGTCCGACTCCCTTCGCGGCAGGAACGGAGAAACTGACTTTGCTCTTGCTCCTAATAAGAGGCTGCCCTGCCTTGACAAGTTAAGGAATGCTTTCCCTTGGAGCGATGCATGGGCAGAGTCATTTCTCCGCTACGCACGAGTCTCTGGCTGCTAATAAAAGGCCTGGCTCCGCTAAAGTGAATTTGTCCAAGCGACCGTTCATTTAGGGAGCGATGACAGCGGGTGAGGGCTATGCATTTTCTCAGCGGTCACCATCTGAAACCTCACGTATGGAAAGTCTCTCCTCACCTGGCATCTGGAAATGAGTATCATAGAAGCTGACACTCTTGGTATTGTAGGAAGAGAAGCGAAGGAACCCGAATAAAAACACCTGCCCCAAAGATCTGCCTCTGGACACACAGGCAGGCTGCAGACTGTGCTGCAGAAGCCTTCGGCGGGGAGACAGGACCCTTGGGGCCCTGATTATAATGGTACCTGCACTGGTAGGAAGCGCAGCCAACCGCGGGGGACCAACGATGGTCCCCATGTGCCTGAAGCCCACACTTCACTGGAAAGCTCTGAAAGCATCTGGCAGCTGGGAGAGCCTGGCTCCCGGTGACTGCACCTCCTTTTCGACCCTGAATGGGAGCCGAAGTCATTTGTCACATGGCTAGAGTGTCCTCACAGCTGTCAGAGGGTTCTGCATACATTAGCAGCTCATTGGGGTTCACAGAGATGGAGGAACCATTGCTGGAGAGCTTAGGGGGCCTGGGGCTGGGGCACAGTGTGTGTCGAGTGAGACCCTTCTAGACGCCGGCCCTGGGCCGGGCTCTGGCACATGCTGAGGACACACTGATGTGGTTCCTGCCTTCTGAGAGATTCTGTTCTCTTAGGGACTGGTGATCCTAAGTAAGCAAACACGATTATGAATAATTTTAGATACAGTGACAGAGGGTAATGCGCGGGGTGGTGTAAACCTTCTTAGCTAGAACCGATGGAGAAGGCTTCCTGGGAGAATATGAAAAATTATAGTTCATAGAGCGGAACAGAGAAAGCAGAGCGAGGGCCTGGGGCAGGCCTCGCAGGCAGGCCGTCAGTGCCCGCTTCAGGGTCATGAACCGGTGCCAGGACCCAGCGGCGGGAGGTGGTGCAGGGCTGGGTGGAGGCCAGGCCGTGGCTGCGGAGACGGCCAGAGATGGGGACCCGTCCTGAGAGCAATGGGAAGTCACGGGTGGTCTGGAGGGGGCTGCTCCAATCCGATCTGTACCTTTAAAAGCTCATGCTGGCTGTCGGGGCAGGAAGGAGCTTAGGGGGCAAATGAAGGAGCAGGGAGATGAATCGGGAGACTACTTTGGTCCTGGAGGAAGATGATGGCGGGTTGGCTAGAGAGATGTGTGGCGGTGGGGACAGAGGAGAATGGACAGATTTGGGATCTATTGTGGAGGTTGGCCTGGTAGGATTTATTAATGAGTTGATGAGAAGTGTGAAGATAAGTGAGAGTCGGAATGGCTTTTTTGTTTCTGCTTTGGGCCCGGGGAGGTGTAGCGCCCAGGTCTTGGAGCCACATCACACCTGGGTTTGGGTCCCTGCCTCCCTGTTGGACCAGCATGAGTTTGTCAAGCATGTCTCCTCTCCAATGTCCCTTCACAAGCACCGAGATTCTGTTCTCCTCAGATTTCCCTGGTTGGGTGGGAGCAGGATATGGCTTTGTATTTTGTAATTTTAATCAACAACCATCATCCCAGGCCTTTCTCATG